CCGCAACCAGAGTCGCGGAATGAATTAAGTTCGTGACCCGAGGTACCACTGTATTCTCTCATCACTTCCTTACTTATTTCGATCTGCATTTCTCTTCTGTCTCCCATGATGCACCTTCTGACAGGTTTGGCCACTTTTTCCTTTTGCAAAAAGACAGACGCAAAATAGGAATTAAGCAATTCAGCCTTCTCCCTATTGTCTGGCCCCATCTTGCCATGCTGCCAATAGCAGACTAATTGTTTCTTTGACTTTCCTCTTGTTCCACATTCATCCAAAGAAGCCTTTTGTTATTTTTAGAGTTCCTTGCAAGCTCATTCTGATCCCATCCTTACAGATTCAGGCTATTTCCTGATATTCTGCTTGTGTTATATGTCCCTTTTTCCATTTTTTAAAGCTTGTGCTTTTTATTTCTTAGTTTATCAGGGGGCTCCTTATGCAACCATGCTAGTATCATCAGCTGTCTCCCATTTTTCTTTCTCTTTGATATTGTTTGTGTTTTGGCATTAATTGTCTCATTTTTCAGAATTTCCCAACTCTCCTGAACCATTTTGCCCTTCAGGATTTCCATCCATGGAATCCTTCCTACCTTCCTACCATTTCCTTTACTTACTGAAGTCAGCTTTCTTGAAAACAAGAACACTAATCTGAATACAGTCAATTCTCATTGCTTGCAATATTGTGAATTCTAGGATCACATGGTCACTTTCTCCCAAGGTTCCTACAACTTCTATTTCCTCAACCATTTCTTTCTTGTTAGTAAGTTAAATCCATTAAAGCCAATCTCCTAGTTCCCTCCCCCACCTTTTAGACAGTGAAGTTGCTGCAAGGCGCATAAGACCTGCTGGATCTTCCACTTGCCACAGAGTTTGATTCCTAGTGGATATCAGGGTAGCTGAAATCTCCCGTTATCGCAGTATTATGTTTCTTGGATACCTTGCCTGGTAGGTGACCTTGGTAGATGTTGTACACACCTACAACTGCACCATCATTGTTTCTTTTTCCCTTAATATTCACCCAGACACTTGGCTGGGTTTTTACCTGTCACAGATTTCCATACAGGTGTAGTCATTGTTTATATATAATGCAACCCCCCCTCCCCTTTCATTGGGCATGAACAAATTCCAGTCTTTCCAGTACTATATTCCAATCTTGAGTTCCATACCACCAGGTTTCATCAATGCCAACAATGTCATATTTGCAACATACCCTCCCCCCACCCCAGTACTAGGACTGTTCTCTCTGTTTGTGCCTCGTTCTCTGAGCATTGGTGTACAGGCATATGAGCCCTTTAGTATTGTCTTTCTGAGTGTAGTTCTGGATATTGATCATCATCCCCCTCCAGAGTTAGGTTAAAGCCTGCCAGATTACCTGAATAAAACATCTTCAAAACACATTTTTATCATTCTTTGTGAGGTGCAGTGTATCTCTCACAAAAGCCCTTCTGTAGATAATATATCATGGTCCAAGAATCCAAGTTTTCTCAGTGATACCATCCATTTGGCCAGCATTTCACCTCCAGAATCCTCTGTTCCTTCCTCAGGCCACGATCTTCAGTAGAAAGTACGGATGAAAATTTTGTTGTTGTTAAATAAGATAAGGAAGTGTTTGAGTTTGAACATTTTATTTCTGCAGTTACAGGTTTACCTATAAATATTTTTTAAAATATTAAAAAAATGTTTGAACCATTTTTCTTTGCTTTTAGTGTCAACGTTAAAAGATCAGCTGGAAGACTTAAAAAAAATTAGTCAACATTCACATATTACAAATGAAAAAATTACACAGCTGCAGAAGCAAGTAAGTGATTTTGCATATCTATTTTGTCTCACAAATATATGCATTCCCTACTGTTCGCATGGCTCTCACCCTACTGTCCTTCAGGAAAGCCCTAAAGATTTGGCATTTCCAGCAGGCCCTGGACCATAGGGTTTTATGAACCTACTAATATGTTATGACTGTTTTAATTATTTTATTCCCTAGACAGTTGTTGCTATTTTGTTCTTCTACTGTTATGTTGTGGTTTTAACTTGTCCCATGTGCTGCCTTGAGCTGTTTGATGATTAGGTGGCCTAATAAATAACTAAATGTCTCTTTTTAGGGTAAATATGAATGAGTAGGCACGCTCATTTTAGACTCTCCTCTGATATTTTTTTCCTAATCTTGCTGCTCCTCACACAGCTTGAAGAGGCCAATGATTTGCTGAGGACAGAGTCAGATACTGCAGCAAGACTAAGGAAAAGTCATACAGAAATGAGCAAATCAATAAGTCAATTTGAATCATTAAATAGGGAGTTGCAGGAGAGATGCAGAATTCTAGAAAATACAAAATTACAGGTGGAAAAGGATTATTTCCAACTGCAAGGAGCACTGGAAGTAGAACGAAGAGATAGGAGTCATGGATCAGAAATTATTGGAGAGCTACAAGGTAATAATTCTACCATAGTGTAATTATAAAATGTAAAGTGTTTTTTTTTCCTGATGGAATATAAATAACAATTTGGGGTTTTTTCCGTTTGAACAGAGTTACATATTACATGAATGGTGAAGTCTAAATTAAATTGAAATGCTCTTATATAACTGTAAACATTGCATACTTTATGTAAAACTAAGAATTTGTGATAAGTATTCCATTTACCAAAACATATTCTCATGGAATATATTTTTTCAGAATTTCTGTGCATAATAGATGAACAACAACATGACCTGATTCTTTGTTCCCATATCTGGAAAATGAGATATAGAGGCTTTCAACTGTACAAAAGAATCAAGCATGATAATTACATGTATCCTGTGCTACAGATACATTAGACATGAATTGTTGCAGTGGGCTAGGATGCAGCAGTTTATAACAGAGAATCCAGTCTGGCCTTGGCATCCTTTTCAGAATCCAAATGTGCCTGTGGTGACAAACCTGCAATAAAATATATGCTATTAGAACCACATGGCCATGGAATTTTTCCAACTTGATTTTAGGCTACATTAAGGCTGACCTTAGAAGTATAGAAATTAGCTGAAGGAAGTACAGAAAGTTGTCTAGACACTGAAAGAGGAAGGAGCTAATAGAGAGGACCAAGAAGAGGATGGAGGGGGAAAAGAGAAAGTTTACTAATGTTTGCACTTAAGGAATGAAAGTCCACTTCCCAAAAGAACTCCTGGGTTAAGTTTTAAATCCAAGGGGAAAATTCAAGCATGCTCTTTATTTTATGAAAGCTACGTATAATAATATTCAGTCAAGACTTGGCTATGTGATCAGGCCTGGGGGTCCCGGGGACTGGCGAGATTTTGCAATGACTCCCTTACTACAGTTAACATCATCCTCTCCTGTTTTGTGTATTTTTTATAGTTTTTATAGTTTTAATTATTGTTTTATATGAATTTATTTGTTCTTTTTAATTGTGTGTTATATACACTACCCAGAGTTACTCTCTTGTGAGATGGGTGGCTATACAGATATGATCAATAAATAAATAAAATGTGAGAAGGCATACTTTAGGAAGAGTATAGCACAAGATGAGTTTACTCTTGTTCATTTTTACAAATAGTTCTTTTGTCAGAGGAAGACAATATTGCATCTTCCAGATGACCACCTTGGGTCTATCAGACTTCTTGCCAATATTAATTAAAAAAAATAAAATAAAAGTACCTACCATTTTGAAGCAAAAATACATCCTGTTCATTGTATTTAGTTACAAAAATGCTTGTGGGTCCCCCTGGGAGGGTACAGAGCATCCTTGGAAACTAGTTTAAAATATATGTGATAAGACTAGTTAAGTTATGTGTGTTTGTGGCTGTCTGAAGAGTCTTTCCATGGCAGTCAGATTATGAATGCGCCCACTGTCCCAATTTCAGATGTATTTCCTGCTGAAAAAAGTTGCCTGGACCTATCTTTCTCTAAAGCATTTCTGGCTTATATGGTTCAGGTTTTGATCTAGCCAAATTGATTTATCTAATATTTTTATATTTTTGCACACTGCCCAGAGTCTGGCAATATAAAAAGACTGTTCACAAAAATGATATCTGTACAAATAATCACAACAGACAGAATGTGAAAATAAAATACTTTCTCTCTTGTCCTGCTTTAAACTATTTTTGCTTTCTTTATCTTTTAGAAATAGTTGGGGAAATCTGTTTATGAATAGGACCTAAATCATAGAACTAAAATCCTATGATTTTATTAATGCATGTATTAAGTATGCACAGGAGCTTTCTTATTCATAATTACCAGCTGTTTACTGAGGGTGAACAATGGATGCTGGGTTAAAAAGAGTTTTCTGAGGAATGTATAGATCACTCAATGTCTTTCTAAAACAGCTTTTGCTTGTGCTATTCTACGTTTGTGTTAGGGAATTTGTGGGCATAACCTATTTGCATTGGAAAATGCAAGTTCTTCAAATCAATAAAGACTAGCATTTTTATTGCAAATGTGAATATTTTATTGCAAATGTGAATATCTGCCATTTTAATTGAGTGTGATTACTTAGCCTTTCTTGCATACACTCCATTTTCAGTTATTTGTTTGCATGCATATATGTGTATACACACATGAATATATATGTATACACATTTTCAGTTTAATTACTAAATTTAGTGGAATTTGGGAGCATGGATCTATCATTTTAAATATAATGTTTTTTCTTAATGAACCATCTTTGATATATGTTAAAAGCTTTATGTATGTAAACAATACTTGTCCATGTGGAGTCATAGAAACAGATAAATATATTTAAATATTACTATAGCTCGGATTACAGCTTTACAAGAAGAAATCAAAGGAGTGAAAAACAATCTTGAACGAGTGGAAGAAGAAAGAAAACAGGCCCAAGACATGCTTAATCATTCTGAAAAGGTAAGGTAACTAAGTAATGAGGCACAAAGTCTTTTGTATATTAGATGTAAATCTTGGAAATACATATTTTGAATAAAAATATATCTGTATATTTTTAGAAATCCAGGCAAATGCACATGTGAAAATGATAGGAATACGTTATAAAACTCAGGCCCTGGAAGAAGGGTAAATCAGAAACCAAATTGGGACCCACTGCTAAATTACCATTATTTCTAAATGGTAAGACCTTATGAATACAGCTGTGCAGCCCTTTGGATTTGAGGGCAAAAGGTGCTTTAGAGTGTTCTGGGAATGAACATAGTACCTGTTTGCACCTTATTGAACCAAGTGTGTCTGCTACTGCACAGTCCCAGGAAAGAGAGTAGCTGCCTTAAGGAGTTACCAGCAGGTGCTAGATTTACACTAGTCCCTTTCAGGATAAGCAGTGTTATTACAAAAAGCACAGAAAGAGAGCAAGAAGCAATAAGTGAAAAAATATTAAAGGCGTTAGTTAAGAAAGGAAAAGGAATTAGAGCTAAATCTGCTCTACGCCACTATTCCTCCCCATACCTTTCTGCTCTTTTGAATCATCTTTGCTTCCATAACCACACAGCTTCATACATTGCCTTTTGTTCTTTAAACTCATCTCTCACTTTTTGTGGCTCTCATCAGTTCCGTCCAACCATGACTTCTTTGTTTTTCTCTCAAGCTATTTGCTGTTCTTTCATATATTTGTTTTGTAATTCAATCCTTATTCATTCTCTCTAAGTGACTCAGCCACATTGCTATACTTCTGTACTGGATTCTGATCACTCACTTTTGTGTTCAGTTCATGTTAATTTGCCATTCGTTTATTTTTGACCTTATCATTTCTTGTTTTACTGCATATTCTTTTTAAGTAACTCATTTCAACTGCATTCAACTTAATGTTATATTTCTCTTGAAATACCCAACTTTCACTTTTATTTAACAAAGTGGACAGACGCATGCTCTTACACACAGCCATTTTTCTTATTTTGGAAAAAAAATAATTCCTCACAGCAGACAACATACACTCACTACCTTTCTATGAATGTGTCTCCATCCATTTTCTTACCTTTAATACACATTCTACCAAGGCACACAAATTGATTTACTTTCTCTAGTTTTTTGCCCAATTTATATATAATTTGCAATTGCTTGATTTTTCTTGTGAAATACAATTACCTTGGGTTTTGATGCATTCATTTTCAGATCTTTATTCCTTATTGCATCGTAAAATATATCTAAGATTACTGCAAATCATTTGGGTTTTCAGCCAATATGGCATAATCTGAACATACAAACGTGTATGTTCATGTCCCCAACCTATATACCCTTATCCTTACTATAAGCATTCCCTAGGCCCCTCCTGTGTGGGGTGCCACAGGGTTCTATCTCTCTCCCCTCCTTTTCAACATTACATGGAACTGTTGGGTGAGGTCATCCACCAGTTTGAGGTTCAGTATCCTCATATGCTGATGGTTTCCAACTCCTCTGCCTTATATAAAGCTACAGGGCATTTCTCAAATTTTACTTTGTCATCTCTTGCACCCTTTCAATCATAATTCTGCCATCCCAGATTCAGCTATCATGCCATCCCAGATTCAGCTATCACATTCATATTTTAACATCTATGCCTATGGCTTCACAAATGTTCAGCATTCTCACAACATTTATTACTTCCTTTTCATAATTTTTTCTTGCATATTAACATTTATAGCATTCTTTTAATTCTTTGGCATGTCAGTATCATTCTCATGAAAATCTCTAAAATATTCCTTCCAGCACTCTCTCACTTCATTTTTATCTCAAATCCTTGCAGTGGTTTTATTTTTAATTCCATTCCTTCAGTTGGAGGATCCTTTTTTAGTTCTCTTCACCGCCTTCCAAAGCAACTTTTTATTTCTTATCATAAGTAGCTCTGCATTTTCTTTGCCTGTTTTAAATGTTTCTTGCTCCCCTTTACTGTGTTTCTTATAGCTGCCTCTATCTCCCTATACGTATACTGTATCATTTTTTGCAGCAGTCATTTCCTTATATCATTTTCTCACCCACAGCTTCTTTTATTTTATCATTCCACCAAGCTTCCTCTTTCATGCTTTGTATTAGCATAACTCCATTCACTACTGTGACACTGTGTAGCAAAATTTGTTTCAGTCTGTTATAACTAGCTTTTAAATAATATTTCCTTACAAAAACTTCCCATTCATTTTGTTGGGAAATTATCTAGTAATATTTTTTCATACAGGACTCTGACTTTTTCTTCCTATAGTTGTTCTGCTGTCTTTCTCATTTCTTCTTTTATGTCAATTTTTCCTAAGATACACTCCAGATACCATCAAGAAATGTTTTGTCCCACATTCAGAACTTCTTATCGCCCTTATATCCTTCAATAATTCTCTGTCTTCCATCATAAACAATCGTGCTTTTAGATTTATATTCATTCCTTTCTATGTGTACTTTTGAACAAATATATGCTTAAGTCATGTATTCAATACAGACTTTTTCTAAGCAGATGACACTAGAGAGTCACCATTCTCTATACTTTTGGGGTCTCCAAAGGCCCAATCACAGTTACTGTGCTCCTACTCATCCATTCACACTATCTAACACAATTCACCCTCTGCCTCCCCAGATAGTTTTTATTCAGAATGTTGCATAGTTTTGCCCAAAACTCATTTCTTGTTCTTCCATTATCACCTTTGATTAGAGCATAATATGCAACTGTCACCATCCTATAGATTCCTACTTTTGTACACACTGCCAACAACCTAGGTGGCACACATTCATACTTTCTGATCTATATTTTAGCCCTTTTATTCATAATTGAACCTATACCTTTACTTCTCTGCATCTGTTGATCAACTCTGCAAGATCAGACTGCACCATCTTCATTCAGATCTGTTTCATCTTTCTCCTCTGTCTTAGTCTCACAGACATGTATCTTTTTTTTTCTATTTTGTTTCATACTCTTTACCATGTATGCATCTTACATTTCAACTCATAATCTTCCGTTAATCATAGTCGTCATGCAGTGGGTCCATACATACTGACTTCTTCTGCCCATCATGGCTTTGGTCAGTTGAGGTTTTCACATACATGTTTTAGCAATATAGAGAAAGTATAGGATAGGTTACCAGCCTTAACTCTATCTGTGCCACATGCAGTATTTCCTGCTAACAATAAGGATAATACTGGCCCTTTGACATATTTTGGTCAGTGTGCCACGAGTAAAACCAAAACATAGTTTTACTCCAAGCACATTCACTCTATTTTATGCAAGCCAGGGTTTGTAATTGGAAACTACCTTACAAGTTAGTATATCATTGCCCACATCCCACAGGCATTTTACTGAAACCCATTCAGGACCCAGTAGATGTGCAGCAAATAAAAAGGTATGTAGGAAGAAGAAAGCTATTGAAAAGTGTAATGAAATATAAATACTTGTCATATTTAGTATATCTGATACCATTTTATACAAAATATCTTGCAGGAGAAGAATAACTTGGAAATAGATCTAAACTACAAACTTAAAATGGTACAACAGCGTTTAGAGCAAGAAATAAATGAACATAACATAAATAAAGCTCGGTTAACTGACAAGCATCAGTCAATAGAAGAGGCCAAATCTGTTGCTATGTATGGTAAGTTCTTAAAGCATAAGCAAGGTTAATATGTAATTAATATTTATATATTTCTCCCTTTAAATAATAATGGGTTGCATGTTCTTTCCTAATCTGTGTAGCTTCCTTGGCAAGCATCTGAGAGTGGTTTGCCACCGCCTTCTTTTGGGATTTTTTTTTTTCCAAATTTCCAGTCTAGTCTACAGTCCTTTGATTTTCTGGTGATTTTCCATTAGAGTACTAACCAGGTCTAACCTGCTTACTTTTCTGGGCTTACTGTAGGTAATTCTTTGGGAAATTTCCTGTGGGAAATGGGATACTGCTGTGCTAAATTAGCCTTCAGCATGGTTCATCATAGTGCATTTCTACAGAATATTAATCTACCATTATAGGAAGGTCTCTTTTAGCAGAGGCATGACCTGCTGAGATGTGTGGTAGTTATTTTCTGTTATTCAACTATGAATAAATTTGGATACCAGTCTGTTTCCCATAACATTAATAAAGTGGTAATGAACAAGAGAGAACAGCTGGCCATCCTCTGTGTATTATCTCAGCATATGTAATCTATATGCATTTAAACTTATCAGTATACTACATGTAACAATTCTAAGAAATTTTTAGTTGTTAATATAGCGGCCCTAAATGCTTAATATCTTCGCTCACCCCTCTGTAGGATATCTGGAAGATCTCATGAATACATTCTTTTTTGCATTCCTAATGTAATGTACTTTACAGGTAGTTCTTGCTTACTGACCACTTGTTCAGCAACTGTTCAAAGTTATGATGGTGCTGAAAAAGGAAACTTATGACTGGTCCTCAAAGTTGTGGCTATCACAGTGTTCCTGTGGTCGTGATTCAGGTGCTTGGCAACTGGCACGCATTTATGGTGATTGCAGCATTCTGCGGTCAAGTGATCGCCATTTGTGACCTTCATAGCCGGCTGCTGACAAGCAAAGTCAATTGGGAAGCCAGCAGGAAGTCACAAGTTGCGGTCATATGACATCATACTTAATGACCCACAGTGATTTGCTTAAAACTGCAGCAAGAACTGACAAATTAACATCGTAACTTGGGCATGGTCACATGACTTTCACTTTACGACTATGTCACTGGTCCCAAATACAGTCAGTAAGTGAGGACTACCTGTATTTAATTTTTGTTGTTCCTCTTTGTTTTTTTAGAAATTGAAAAAAAGGTTAAAGAAGAACGTGCAGCAAGAGAGAAGGCAGAAAATAGAATAGTTCAGATTGAAAAACAATGTTCCATGTTAGACTTTGATCTGAAGCAGTCCCAGCAGAAGATTGAGCACCTTACTGAACAGAAAGAGAGACTGGAAGATGAGGTAAGACAATAATTTCTATGCCGGTGTAAACATACCTTTTAGACACTTATGATAAATTCATTATCATTTCTGTGAACAAAAAAAATCTGAGTGTAGTTGCAAATCCAGCACAAAATTAATTTCACAAATTGTTTATAAACTGCCTCACTCCAGGGGCTCTGGACATGGCACTCTAAAATATTTCCTGAATCATAATTAAGCTTTGCCAGCAATTAGAATTGGAAGGCCATTGACAGGTATCTGAGGCTTCTTATGAAACTACTTGGATCTTTGTTTTGATACATTGGGTTAAACGTAGAAACACCAAAACTTTAGAACTTGTTAAACAAAGTCCTTATTGCTGTATATTCTTGCTGTACATGTTGATATAGAAGAGAACACAACGGACAACATAGTTTGCAGATGTAGGGTATTTCAGGCCAGAGGTCCAGATGTCTTGAGGCAAAATGCCTTTGAAACTGATTTTTTTAGGACATTTTGATTGAGACAATCAAATATAAATGCAGTCAAATGCAAAAAGAAATGGTATAGGTATTGTTTTGGATCTCATCCATAATTTTACTCTAATATTACTGTACATACATGCAATAATATGCAACACTTTGGATCCAAAGTTTAAAGTAGTGCTTCAGAATGGGCACAGGTTTAAAAAAACTACTATCTTTTCCTGGGCTCACATGGTAGCCATGGAAGTCCAAGAAAATACACGCTTAAGTTAAGGGAGTGCCAAGAGGATACAACAAGGTGCTTCAGAGCAGTTGTGGGTACATTGTCAGCACCTCCTTAATTCAAATACCTATTTTCCTGGAATTGTACAGCTATCATGTTCGCCCAGAAAAAAATGCACTCCCACACCTGCTTCAAAGCACTGTACAATATGTGGATTTAATATAATATGAAATGTTAGGATTTTCTTAGATATTAGAACATTTTCATCCTTGGCCTGGAATTGGGTAGTGCCAAAGTAGGTAGGTAAAAATAAATAATTTTTTTATTGTGTGTTTAGGTTAAGAATCTGACACTTCAGTTGGAACATGAGATAAATAAAAGAGTGATGACACAGAATGAACTGAAGATGCATGCTATAGAGGCAGATAGTTTAAAGAGTTCTGAGAAACAGCTAAAACAGGAGATCAACACATTGTTGGAAGCAAAAAGATTAGCAGAATTTGAGTTGGCTCAGCTGGCTAAGTAAGTTACATTTTTATTATCAAAAAGAACTATGTTGTAAATGGCTGCTTTTAGTAATGTGATTGATGCTGTGTTGCATTGACTTCTCACTTCACTGTTTACAGTTATTTATGCAAACATCTCATGGAAAGTTGTCCATGAAAACTAATGGGATAAATATGGTAGACTTTAAGGAATTTCTAGACTCTGTGTTTTAAGTTGTCTGTCTGTTCTGCTCAAATAATACTTTTATTACTTGATATACTGAACACCTGATGTCTAAGAGTTCAAAGTAAAAATTCCCTTTTTTAAAAAACAATATTTTTTTCCTCAAAGGCAATACAGAGGGAATGAAGGCCAAATGCGTGAATTACAAGATCAACTAGAAGCTGAACAATATTTTTCTGTAAGTGTTCTTGTATATTGCACAAGCATTTAATGATGTTATGCACAACTTGCATTAATCTAATAATAGTGACTTTCAGTTTTATATAATATTTGTGCCTGGAATGGGAAAAATGGTAAGTGGGAGAGGAAGAATAAGAAAGATACACACAAAATTGTTTTTTATTACTGTTTGATTTTGACGTTTTTGCCTGCTGCCTCCTAGCCAATATCTATAGAGCTAAAAGAAAGGTAAACATGCATTTTTCTTTTAGCCATTATTATATGAGGTCAATCTGGACTTGCTCTTGTTGCCATTTTGGACATATATGTTAGGTTGGGCTCAATAGTGTATCAGGCTTGACTTTCTAAAACCTTACCTAGGCATCTATGTTTTGGATTTCCAATAAATCTTCCTCTGAAGACTCCTGTTCTTGCTTAAAGAATTGCTATAATCCATAATGTTTCCACTAGGTATCCAAGAAACATCTATTATGAAGGCCTTCTTCTACTTTCTCTGTTAACCTACTCACAACAACTGGAACTTTCAGAAGAGGGGGCTTATTGTGATTGGCTTGCTTATGTTTAGGGTCTGCTTTACATATCCAAAAAATGTCCTTAAAAACCCTTCTGGAAATAGAAAATCAATGCACTAGAAAAAGTAGTGAAAAAAGAATCTTACCTGTATAGTTTTGGGGTTTTTTTGGTTTTTCAGAATTTTGTATATAGAAAAAAAATTAAAATTGGAATTCTCATTAGTAGCTTGAAGTATACACTATATTCCATCTCATTGCACAGAATGTAGCTCAGATCTGGGAAGAAAACTCTTCTGTAATTCAACCAACTACTGAGAGGTGTGCCCTGACCTTGATGATCTATTTGGCCTTATCTTTTCGAGATATATGAATGATATTCCCTTAAGTGTATCTTGATGATTAAAGAGAAACCGAATTTGTAAAACTAACAATGCTGGTGGTTTATTCTTAAAATGTTAATCTCAGTGTAAAAACTATTTAATTATAAAATAACTATTCAGCTCTTTCTTTGTAATAAAGAAGAGCCCAGTCTGATTAACAAAATATTTATATTAATCATTACAATACTTTTTTAATGTGTTAACTATTTTATGTATAATTTAATTCACAATGCTTTTTTTTAATCCAATTTGGGAAGGTCAGGAGGAAAGCCTAATTAGAAAAGGCCTTCTATAGATCTTGCTGTTATTTTTTTCTTCTAATGGCATTCATTAAAGCTTTATTGTGAAGGCAATATTCAAACTGGCCTTTCCAAACTGAGAGTTTTTTATATCTGTTAGGTATGGAAAACTGTAGGACAGTTTCTATTTCATCCCACACCTGGTTGCTCTTTTCAGTTCACCAGTCAAGCAGGTAGAATTGTTCTTAAGCCAGCACTCATGAATCTCAGACTGGCTTGCCATTATTCTGTCCATCCAAATAATTTTCGTCTTTTTTTCACTATCTGTCTGCTGTACTGGGCAGCATGTGAGGAGTAAAAATTATGCTGTAATCTGTTTATAGATGCTGTTTGTTGCTGGCTTCATTGTACAATTTTTAATGTCTTTTTTATCAAAAAAAGTTGTAAGCTCTTTGAGGGAACGGTTATAAAAGCTTGATATAAATAATAAATAAATATAGATTGAATAGTATGTAGCTCTTATCATCATCCCTAGTTTGACTCCTGAATGGAAATTTATGGGTTGTAACAGAATGTCTAAATGATGATGGCGTCTTTTTTTTATTTGCAGACACTTTATAAAACTCAGGTTAAAGAACTCAAAGAAGAAATTGAGGAAAAAAATAAAGAAACGCAGAAAAAAATACAAGAGCTGCAAAATGAAAAGTAAGTCACTTTTATGGGCATAATCCTTCCAAAATTGAGACACTCTAAGCAACATTGATATTGCTGAGAGAATAAGCATCTTTTATCACTTGGAAACAAAAGGGATTTAAATGTGTTTTTGTGAATTGTGGAAAAAAATAAAATTTGATCTCATGTTTAGCACATTTGCAAAATATTAGCAAGAGCAAAACATCTTTTTTAATATAAATATTTTTTGTAATACAAAGTAATCAGTTGTTGTACTTTAACATGTGCCTAAAACAGGTTTTTGTTAGATATGAAAACCATGTATTCAGTGAAATGAATACCATATTTTTCCAACTATAAGACGATACTTTTTTCTAAAATCCTTATGCTAAAAATTG